TATATATATAAAATATGCCTATCTCCTATATAAATGCAAGCCTAGAGATTGTATAAACTAGAATCTATTCAAGTTATGCAATCAATCAATAAATATTTCACTTGAAAGATGAAGATTAATTTTTTTTAAGAATTAATAATATTTGCTTTATAAATCATTCCTCGTACAGGGTAAAAAAGAAAATAATCAAGAAATTGGCATTAATCAAAGCATTTTTTCCCAAGAAATTTCACAACTGCAAACTCTCCTCCTTACAAGTTCACAGATTTTTCAAGTTTTAGAACACATTTTAAAAGAAAAGTTTTAATTTGTTTCATTATATTTCTTACTTGTATAACCTAAAATTATTAACAATTCCTTAACTCTTGCGTAAACTAGTGTTCTTAAACATCAAATAAGTCAGAAATTCAATTCTTATACTAGCTTTAACAACTTGTACAAAATAAAAATAAAATTAATATTAAAAAATTAACAAATATTATATTTACCTCTGCATGTTAAATAGTGGATTTCTTTCAAAGTACATTCATCACCAGTGATAGCATCTGTTATCTTTCTCCGACATATATTATCGGTTCCACAATAAAAACACTGAAAAGTATAATAAATTACGAAATTGTAATGAAACAAATTTAATAAAAAAAGTTACTAAACGATTAAGATAATTTAAGATGCCTGTAAAAATTTCCCTAAACACACACTGAAAGTTTACATCAAATAAAGAATTACTTTAACTAAAGATCAAAGTATGCAGTTCAAAGTTAAGAAGTAAGTAAAAAATTCTAATATGATGTTCATAACAAATAAAATTTAACTTTGCATACCTAGTCAATGACGGTCTAATAAACCCTTTCAACAGTACCCATGTCAATTACAAACTTTAATTAACATTAATTATGTGTTTTTAAGTCATTTTACTCAAATATATTTTGTAAATTAAAAAAACACAAACAAAATTTTAGCATTACGGAACAAATCTTTAATAACATTAACATTTTTTGCCAATTTTTCATTCACGCAGAGTGTCTTTTTTTTAGGGTTGTTCTAAAAATGCACTGTAAGCATGCATAAAATATTTAAACAAATTTTTTTAACCAGTCCCGTTTTTTGATTTTATAAAAACACTTGTCTCAGAAGGTTAGAGATCTGTCACATTATCCAAGGAGTACCAAGTGATCCAAGGTACCATAATTAACTGTTTTAAGCTGTCTCGTTAGCACGTCGACTATAAGTAGAGCCCTAGTCATTGGTAGGTCTTCCAATTGGAAGAACCTACCTGCTTGGTCTTTGTATGCTATCATATTACTAAGTTTTCATGTTTATCCATATGAGCTTAAAGCCTAGCTCAGAAGAATCTAATTCATAAATTTTATAAAAGGCAGTACATATAGCCATCTGGTTTATAATATAACTTCTTAAATTTTCAAGTTTAATTTGAAAATAGGTTTCCAATAATGTCCAGAAGAAAAAGTTAAGATTGTTTAATTACTTACCAATAAATTTATCTTCTTCAGCAGATGAAATAAATTTAACTAAATTTTTTTTCTTGGAATTTCATATACAGTAGGGAACCAATTATCCGGAACGGTCGGGACCATCGCTATTCCGGATAACTGATTTTTCCGGTTTTCTGAATCGCTACAAAAAGCCGTTTTTTTATTGTTAAACCCAACTAAAAAAAAAAAAAAAATTGGAAATAATCTTAAAAATAAGAAAAAACGATGAAGTAATACACTAATGATTATTTCCGAAATGATGGTAAGGTAAACATCTTTAAAAAAGAAAGAAAAATCGTAAAATCTTACGAGGAAAAAAAATTTTTTTTTTTAAAAATGGCGAGAAAATTTATCGAATTTCATTCCGGTTTTTTGATTTCCGGATAACGGGTTCTGTACTGTATATTGTTTTTGGCCTTATATTTAAAAATTTTATTGATTTTCAAAATTTTTCTTAAAAAAAAATATATTTTTTTATATTCTTTCTTAATAATTAATACTTTAGCCAGAGTGATTAATTATGCAGTTTCACTCAATATAATTAATTTATCAGTATCAGTTTTTAAAATTCTATAAAAGAAACATAAGAACTTTTAACCATTAAAAGCATTTCAGCAGCAACATCATCCCAAAGTTTATTTTTCTAAAGCAAAGTTATTTGATGACAGAGATCATTTATACATACATATAGCAATGAAAAACTAAGCACAGACCATAACTATAAAAGCATGAAACTTGATTTTTTTTTTTAATATACACAATAAGCTTAGCACAGAAAGTAGATACAATAAGAAAAACAAAAGAACATTACCTCAGAGTAAGCTACACATGCTTTACAGTCATTATTATGGTTTTCACAAGCTGAAAAATTTAAAGTCAGTTAATAATCTTCCACAATAAACAGTTTATATAGAGCATATACGATGTACTGCAAAAACAGTTAACTAAGATGTTGGCAATAATAATTTTTATTAATAATAATTTTTACTACTAATAATTTTTGTTACAAATAATTTTCATAAATCATACTTTTTAATAACCTTTTCTAGAATTAAATTACTTGTTGGTCTGAAAATTAAAGATTTACATAGTTATTATAACTTTAATAAACTTGTTTTAAGATTGCTGAAGTTAAACACATTAATGAAAATTGCACTGAATAGTCGTTTCAACTGAATACTGAATAATTGACCAGCTAACTATTCCAATGCTGAATACTAACTATTCCTTATTCAGCTATAATCATTCATTTTCAAAAATATTATATTTCCATGAAAATTCTCTTAAACATTTTTTTTAAAAAATACGATAAAACAGATTTAAGCAAAAGTAAAACTCCGGTCATATTTAAGAGTTATTTATTATATTAAATTAAATTACCGTTATTAAAACAATATAGGACTTTTTAGTTCAGCAGAATTTAATATATAAACAGGACTTTGATTTACAATTTTGCCTATTCACAAATGCCAAATTTCCTAATAAAGCTTCAACCATCATTTATTTCTTCAAAATTAAACTTAAATTTTACATAAAAAACTACATAGTGACTTTATAGGTCAGTTAAACAATTACTTTGCTGAACACTCTCAAAAAGATCCATAAGAAGTCAAATGAAGCTAGTAATCAAACACAACAATAATCGATTTGTGTAGAATAATCCAATCTGACTAACAGTTCTTGATTATTGGTGGCCTATAGATCCAGTGACACTGAAATTTGAATAGGATTACCATGAAATAATTAACAGTGCTTCTCCCAGACCAGTAACTGATCACTATTGATTGTATAAGTCTGATTTGGTTTTACTTTTTGCCTATCACAAAATAGCATACTTCATCATAATTGTGACAATTTTACATTTTCTGTAATATTGTTGTCTGTACAAGTATTGTATATTCTGTAATTTACTTTAGTAACATTTTGTTTTTGCATTTAATGTTTATATATTGATCTAATCATGTCAGATTTAACCCCAATGTTTAAACACATTGATAAGAACTTGATTTCTATAAACATTTGCATTTTTGATTAGTTTTCAAAAATTTAAATACAGTCAGTGCTCAATATAAGGATCCTTTTAGTCTAAACAAAAAGGGATATTATTACACGAAGTTGCTATGTTGTGTGTGCATAAAATTATGCTAAATATTTATTCATAACTCATTAAGACTGTATATGCTTTAACAAAGACATTATTCTTCAATCAACATCTTTCAGAAAGTTTGATTTCTACTCTAAGGATATGGCATTATGCTGGCTAACAAACAGCCATTTTTGCTAAACTATGTATATTCAGAGAACAGTGTCAAGGCAAAAATAAAATCAAAAATAATAAGTAGATTTCAATGAAAAAAATTATAATTGACGAATTTATTGAACACTTTGTAAGAAAAAAAAATTACAAAGGTTATAAGTGCATACTGATGACTCCGATTTCCACATGAAGATGCAATGTACACTTTCTAATTATCAACAGAAAAGTAAACAATGCTTCGTCATCTTTAGGATCACAGAGTATGATCTAGAATCTTTGATACTTATGCTGTCAATTTATTCATTATTAATGGAAAAAATGTTTAAGACTTAATTTTGGAGTTTTTATCTTGGAATTAAAAAATATTAACAAAATTTCAGTTAGAATATCAGAATGGACGGCAGTTGGGACTTTTCATAGGCGGTAAAATAACATTGCGTATTTTATATAGTTAACTAGAATTCACAAACTGGTTGTTATAATGAAAGAGTAGTAATGGAGGGGTGTACTCAGTCTAAACTGTACTAGTTAGGCTGTTAACCTCACAGTAGAGCTGTACAAATGGAGTACGATTAAAATATTGTATTTATCAAAATAATTCAATTTAGTTATTTTTTTTTTTTGAGAAAGCTGATAGACAGGTGAATGAACTAATAAAAAGTTTTCACGGACTAGTGAAAAGTTTTCATTAGTCTTCTGTAGTAATTTGTTCCACTGATTAAAATTTTTAAATTTTGCCCCTGGACTACTGTAGTAGAATATTTCTGTGTTAAACAAAATGACACACTTACTAATATTGTTTACTGCTGTTGTTGTAGACGAAAATGGTTCCTCTGTGATAGAAGTGTTTACTTCAGGTTCAGATGTTTCACCATAAGCAAAGGATGCAAGAAGGCAAATGTTACAAATTAGAAAGACAATATGAAGATACTTATTTCATTTTAAAAATATGTTATGTATCTAGAAAAAAAATTATGAAATGTCTAGCCCAGAGGTCGCCAAAGTGGTCTATATAGACCCCCAGGGGTCTATTTAACAAAAGGGGGGTCGATTTGAGACAGGGGGGCGAATAATTAACAGAAAATTACTTTTGTGGGGGGGTCGATGGAGATTTCGAAAATGTTTGATCATAGATCATAGGGGTTTTCATAGATCATAGGGGATCAATGTTTGATCTTTTTGATCATAGGGGTCGATGATCAAAAAAGTTTGGCGATCCTTGGTCTAGCAAACACTGCTCTCAATGTGCTCCACTTTCGCAAGAAACAAAACAAAAACAGAACACAAATAAAAACAAAATATGCAATGCAATCAGATGATTGTTTTAGTAGTTGCATTCATTTCAGTACAACGATTATTTTCAGCATCAAAAGTAGACGAGTGGCGACAATCACTGAAATATTCAGGCTATAAAAACTCTCCAATCAGGCTCTCCATCTCTCTCTCTCTGTAATGATCGGAAGTGCGTAAATTGACAGCAAAGAGAACAAAACGGGAAATCAATATATTTGCATCATAGATCTACACAATGGGTTATTGGGGATGATCCAGAGATGACATACTTACGTCACATCCCCTTTTACAGAGAGGTCACATTCACACACCACCTATCCACCACAGGTCATAATTTCAGTGTTTTCACTACAGCGCGAGAACGCGAGAATCTCGCATATTTTTTTTATATTCTCGCATTAAAAAAATATTACCGAGAGAAATTCGCGCATTCTATA